ACAAAATTATATTAGTACAATATTCTTGCCAAAACTGCATAGACACTCACAGACAAGCTATGTCAGTAATTGTACAGTTTTGCAGTTCTATAAGACACACTGAACTACATAATCATTTAAAATTCAACAAATATTTAACTTGAGACATACTGAAGACAGAAATTTGGTAAAATTTTAAATATATTTTATATTTACATGAATGCACCTCTGGTGAAATCTCTTAAAAAATTAGCACGAGAAAGCAAAGCGATTTTAAACATCAAATTGTAAACATTCTACAGCGATGCTCTGGACGTTATGGAGCATTCTGCTTAAATTGCATATAAAATATTTCAAGTAACCTATCCACACATTAATGGCTTCAAACATCTAACATATGTGATACACACCGTAATATTCCCTGCAGCTTCTCTTCTGCTTGATATTTGCAGGATAACAGTTAATTATAATGAACAAGAGACCACACACCAAAAAAAGTTTCTCTTGTCTTTTGACACAAGTATAATTTTATGGGTTTCTCTAGAATAATTCTTGATGTACATCAACATGAAGAAAGTCAGAGCTGTAGATCAGGTATGGCAGGGTTCAAACACCTGCATATTTACACCCCTACCTAGCAAACATTCAGCTGCCTAACATGGGAGAAGCAGTATCTTCTGAACTGTACTCATTTTTTTCATTCTCTTCAAGACAGTGGCATTTTAGCTGTAAAACTACATTATTACATGTCTCCTTTAAGGTTTCGATCCAACTTCTGCAGAACTCAGTTAAGTTTTTTTCTAAAGGTTTCAAAAGCCACTCAAGCATCCTCATTAAAGAAGTTCAATACTTTAAATGAAAAAAAACCCCTTCACTTCTGAAATCCTCTTTACCTCTTCACTTGCTATATTCATTCTTCCTTTTTCCTTATTAATACCATTTATCAACATTTTGTGAAAGTAAAATAAGCACAACAAATTACTTTTGGTTTTTTTTTCCCTTCATTTATATGCTGTGATCTCTCGTAGCAAATTATTTATACTGATGTGGGTTGCAGATGCCTTTATTCCAACACATTGTTATCAGAGATCAGATATTAACTATAGCTAGAACCAATCGGTAGTGGTTGTTCATACATTAAGGGACATTTTAGAAGTCTAATAATTGAGGACAATCACACCAGAACTGTGTGATCCACAGCTAAAAAGCTTGAATGGTGTTAGCATGATCTCACACCAGTTTAAAACCAGTATAGCTAGCAACAGGTAGCTCACTGAAATTGTTCCCTACTTTCACCACTGCAAAAGAAAAATCCAGTATGTCCTTGTCTTTTAACAGAAGAAGAAAGAAAATAAGGTAGGAAATTAGACTGTAAGAAATTACTATGTTGGCATCAGAAATCAGTAGGAAAATTCTCTCCAATCTTCTAAAGTCTTAACACAAAAAGCTTAATACAAAAAGACATCTATGATGTTCTAGCAGTAGGTAGCAGCATGACCATAAAATAGAACTATATATAGAAATAATGAAGAAATACAAAATACCATGCTACGAGGTTTAAGACTTGATCCTGCCAGATGCTGAACTCTCTGGCCCTGGCCCAGCAAACCATTTAAGCATGTGGTTAGAAGTCAGCCTGCATTTTACCCCATTGAAGTAAATGAGGTTATTCAAAGTTTGAGCACATAGTTAAGTGCTTTGAAAGACTGGGTCATTAAAGTACCAACCACTTACTGGCAGAGTATGAGGCTAAATTACTGCCATGAACAGGTTGTTACATAGCTGTCCATTACGAGGCTTACATACCATTCTTTGAAGCATGCTTTGAAGCATTTCTTTACCACTGGAGAAGAAAAAAAAACATGTTTCTGTCTGGCCAGGAAATTCCTAAATTCCCATCATTTCACTTACATGTGCAAAACCAAACTATAGTGGTGTCGAGGTATAAGCATCCCACGGAGGAATACAAAACACAGTCTATTATAATGCTAATTATACAACGCCCCCTTACAAACACACACTCTGTTACAGCCAACTTGCTCCTTGATGCAGGCCTAGGAAAACTCATAATACAAAGGGTAAAGTCATGCAAATAGCAATGCAAATGTCACATTTCATATTTAACATTCCTTAGAATTTTTAAAATACTGCTTAACATTCAGCAACATTGCTGCCTGGTAAAAATGACGTTGTTGGCAAAAAAACCAAAAAACCTTGAGTGCTCTTAGTAGCTAGTAAAACCTGCAATTGTACCTCAAAGCTAGGAACAAGACAGTTTTCAATGTGCATTTGCAGCCTTTGTTCATGCTTGTAGACTGGGGAACAGATGTATGTTCACTAAAACATACATCATGGAGGAAAACGAAACAGCTTTGTTTTGTTAGTGGAAGCATGAGGGATCCCCTTTCTGAATTCTGCCGATGTTTGCCTAATCTCAACCCGGGAAATAAAATCACTTTCCTTGAGTTAGGTGACTTGTTCTACCGTGCCTTAGGGGTTGTGACGAAAAATAGGAATAGTAGCTCATAATTTCATTTTAATTATGGATGTATATACCTGTTCTATTCAGATCTCGACATATGATTCATAAGAATGAATCCACGTAATGAAGTCCACTTCCTAGTTCCTGTTTGTCAAATACTGAAATCTTGGCATAATATCCCCTTAGTCGAGACACTTCTCGAACTGTTTGAAACATCTCACTGTTCTTACTCAGTCGACAAAATCTGCTTCTTCAGCTTGTCCAGCTGCAACTGTATGAGCTATTAATCTCATATCTGTTAGCTCTGATCTTACCTTGTCCTGTTCTGGTGAAGGACAAAAAAAACCCCTAACTCTACACAGTCACTCCAAGAATCAGTCCAACTTTTGCAAATGTCAAGTTCTGTCAATGGGAGGCTAAGCAGTGTCGAACTGGATTTGAATACTGTGTTCAGAAGAAGTGAAACTTCCAATGAGACATAATTTTTTTTTTTAGGTTATCTACTAGAATCTACTTATGTGATGTAAAGATAGAGTTACATTTGGGTAGTATATTAAGAATCTTTTCATTTTTGCTCTAAGTAGCTGCAGCGCATACCTAACTCTGTAGTTCAGTGCATACCTAACTCTGTAGAAGAAGTGTTCTTGGAAGACCTGGGAGTACCAACAGAGTCTTCTGGCTGCAACCCAAATTACTCTTGCTTGGTTTATAAGCCACAATATTTCTGACAAGAATAGACACAATTGACAGTAAATGGGGAGGAGGTATATGTACACTACCTCCACATACGCCAACAAAAAGCTAACTTTGAAGTGACAAGGATATGGGAGATATGGAACAACCGGATGCAA